CCACCTTTCTTGTTTCGATTAACAAAACAATAATAAAGATAAACAAATTTGTGAAGGGTCCGAATATAAGAAAATTCATTTTGTGAAGGGTCCGTGAACGAAATTTCTTCTAAACAGACCCCTGCTAAAACTATTCAGCTTGATTTGCGAGTGACACTTCGGGTTTAAAGTGAGTTAAAGATAAAATTTGAAGGTTCCAACTGATTGGACAAAATGATGATAATTTCTACTTGTACGTTTAAAACTCATATCAGAACTTCAGTAGAGATTTAAGCGCTTTAGCTAGCTGTATAGTGTTCGAAATTTCGATTTCGAAATTCCTCCCACATACCATTAAAGCGATTTCATAAAAACGTAGTAAAAAAAATGTAAAATGCGGCGAGAAAGTTGAAGAAACTGATAAAATTACTCTACTGGTGAACAACATATATTTTAATGTGTTCAATTTCATTCGGTATAAAATCGAACACGAACTTTTGCTATCACTTAACAATTTTTGAAGCAATTGAAGTATTTAAACTTGAACTGGATAAAACAAGATCAGATCTCATTAGTACCTAAATAACAAATAAATTGCCTAATGGCAGTTTTCTACAGCTAATGTTCAACACAAATACCACAGCCAAAACAGGAATATAAACTTAATACTACTCAATAAAAGTGATAGTTAAGAATACTACGAAAAACCGCAAAGAATGAAAGCAGCGGATGACGACATTATGAATGTGAAAGTGAAAAATACGCCCACGCAAAAGCGCTCAAGTATTTTGTTATTTTCAAAGCAAGTCATTTACATTGAGTACAGGAAATGATTGCTGCTAGCAGTGAAATTTTGACATGAAAAGCTAGACAAATACTAATAAATTCTCGGAAAGATTTTATAGTTTGAATGAAGCAAGACAAGTTTAACAAATATAGAAATAATAAATAAAATCAACAAATAGTTATATTGAATTACGTTGATGTGAAAGGAAAAAGAATGAAACATTCCCCTAGGCCTGAAATTTCGCACACGCCACGTGGCGAGTCAAAAAAATGGCGACTAAATTGAATAATCAACCCGTCACTTTTTTTCTTTCGAAATTATTTAATGATGAAATTACATTAATGCAGAAAGACTCTGAAAAACAGAGTTTTTATTAAAGTGTGAATGTTTCCATTCAAAATTTTTTTTTTTTTTTATAATCTATCAATTTGTGCTATAAAATGAAAAAGGATCTATTGATATCGGTCACCGACTCCTTAAATTTGGGCCTGAGGAAAAAGTGTCTACTAAGTTATTTGAGTCTACCGGCCACTGGCTATTAACTGAAAATTTAATTTTCAGGTCTACATTTCTCTGAAATATACCGAAAAAAAATAACAATGAATAAATAGAAATAAAAACAAACTTTTCTTTACCCAATAGAAAAAAAAATCTTAACTTACACAAATTAAAAATCGTTTTATAAAAGTAACACTGTAGGTCAGTGTTCCCCAAACTTAAGACTTTTCTGTACCCTTTCTAAATTGTTCTTAACGCTGTGTACCTCTAAGAAAATTAATGTATTTTTTACTATACAAAAGTTGTACAAATGTTAAAAATCACATCCAGCTGTTGATGCCACAAATTATTAACTCTGCAAAAAATAGCCAATAGAAAAATATGTATTCGTAAATTTTCATGGCTTGCTTTGTTCTTTAATAAAAATGTTTGAAATTTTCATTTGTTACAAGATATTTCGCATAAGAACGCGTACCCCTGCTAAATTGTTCGCGTACCCCTGGGGGTACGCGTACCACACTTTGGGAAACACTGCTGTAGGTAGTCCTAAATTAAGTTAAGTAAGAGACAAAAACTCAATTACGATAGAAAGATTTATCATTGAAACACGTTTTTTCAATTAACGTGGAGCTGTTAATCATATTCATATTTCTTTAAAACTAAAGCTCCAATTTGATGATTTCTAAACATTAGGTGATAAAGCTAAGTATTTTTTTTTTATTTATAAGAACTCCAAACTTTTTATTAATTAAAAAAACAAGCATGAAGAACAAAAAAACTTATCTAGTGAAAATTGGTAAGCATTTTACTTATCTAGAAGTTTCGGTTGTGCCACCCTTATATGTTGCGCCAATTTCTTGCAATACTTAAGAATTTACACTTATTTATTACTTAAAAGAATATTTGTTTGAATTTGAAGATAAGAAAGCAAATATTAGGAGGATAAAAAGAAAACATCGTACACAGTAAGTGAGAAATTAAATATAACCCATAAAGTTAGAAAAATCAAGTAACAATATACCGAAATAAGTAACAGTATTATATATAGCCTTAAAATGGAATATCAAAAAAAATGCCTATTAAATTAAAAACAAATCCCTCGTAATTAAACATATACAATTATATTAAAATATTTATATTGAGAGAAAATTAGATATAATTTTTATTAAATTTTGAAATTAAATGTTATAATAAAAAAAGTAACGAAAGATTAAAGAAAACAAAACTGTTGTGAAACACGCACATAGTCAAACCGAACTCAGAAACTAACTTTCGCTTTTTAAATTAACTAGTCAGTTAAACACTAAGTTATTTCTGCATCAGCTATAAATCAACTAAAGCTCTTCATGTTATTTGTGACTAGAGCGGTCAACATCAGCATTTAAAATGTGTGATTGTTGTAAAAATGAGCTAGTACTATTTCTAGAAATTTCAGAAAATGTCCAAAATTTCATATATGCCCTAAAATTAAAACAATTTTATTTCTAAAAATTAAAAAAAAAGAAAAAAAAAATGATATGAACTAGTAAAAGTGTCAAAAATTATGAAAAATGCAAATGTGATTAAAATCGAGGCTTCAATAATAAGTAATGTTATATATCATTACTAATGTTATTAAGCTTTATATATTAAAAAAAAAAAAAAAAAAAAAAAAAAAAAAAAAAAAAAAAAAAAAAAAAAAAAAAAAAANAAAAAAAAAAAAAAAAAAAAAACGAAATTTATGTGAAATAAGAAAGGGTGGAGAAGTAATCAATTTTAGTAGAATTCTTAAAACACATATATGACTATAAAAACTCGTAAATCCACGGTTTTCAAAAATTGAATTTTAATATAAAATATGCAGACAAAAATTGTTTTTTTTTAAAAGTGCAATATAATTTATTTGATGTTAAAATACACATTAAAAAAGGAAACTATAGGTTAGAGTATAATTAAAACATGACTTTCATTAGCACTTAGAAAAACTGGAAAAATCAACGTTTTTCAATGAAGGAACAGTACCAATTAATGCATAAATTCATTCCCCCCCCCATGAACGTTAAAGAATGATTTGATGCTAAACAGCCCAAAAGAAAAAATAAATAAATAAAAATTTTAGTTACTACAAATTAGACTAATTTATAATATTAGGATTTGAAATGACCATTTAAATTCTAGGATTGGAAAATACGGATTAACGAGTTTTTAAGTACCAAATAATATAAACATTATGTTCCCATTAATGTTATACAATCATTTGACGCCGAAATTTAAACCTCAAAAAAAGAAAATTACGAGTACGAATATATTTTTAATTAACACTCTAGGATTTGTGAAATAGTGAAAAATATAATTTTAATTTTGCGAATTTGAGAAAAATCGAGTTGTTTCTCGTGATTATGTGAAAACTCACAAAAATTAGTGTTCTATTCAGATTATTAGTTGAAGGCCCTGTTCTAATGATAATCAAATCATAATTTCCTGAATCCAAAATTACCATGGAATTACCTGTTGTGTTGCGAGAAAAAAAAATTTATCGTTCAAGGAATAGTAGTAGAACTTTATTAACATCTCACTACAGATACACCATGGGATGGGCTCTTGGCGGCTGTTAGGTGTTCCGTAGAATTACCATCACAATTTTGATCCGCTACGGCAGTGTTTCCCAAAGTGTGGTACGCGTACCCCAGAGGTAAAGGAACAGTTTAGCGGGGGTACGAGTTCTTATGCGAAATATCTTACAACAAGCAAAAATTTCAAAAAATTTGATTTTAAAAAAAAGCTAGCTATGAAAATTTACGATTACGAATTTTTATATTGGCTATTTTTTGCAGAGTTAACAGTTAATAATTAGATAATTAATAATTGTCAACAACCAGTTGTGATTTTTAACTTTTGTGCAATCTTTTATAGTACATTCATGTTTTTTATTAGTGGTACACATTGTGTTACGGAAAATTTAGAAAGGGTACACAAAAGTCATAAGTTTGGGAAACACTGCACTACGGAGGAGATAGCTCCCCCGCTAGGATAACTCGAGATATACGCGAAGCCTAGCACTTAACGGTATAACAGTTTAACAAGGATCGATACCGCGCACCCTCGGACACTTCCCCAGTCAGATCAAAATGATCCTCAACACGTTCACTGACAGTCAACGTGAATCAGTCATGCTGAAATCTGTGATGCTTGATTTCGGTGATAAACGACAAACTGCATCTAAATATTAGTCTACTGTCGAATCCTCAAAAAGTAGTAAGACGTCACTTCTGCGGTAATTTCATAAGAAATTTGAGATGAGTCTACTTCCAAATTGTAAGACATTGTGAAGGATCTGTTTTTGAGATAAAATAGTTTTTAAAGAGTCAGCTTTTTTTTAACGATTTATTTATTTTGGAAAAATTTCCGTCAAAATACCCAAATTTCTCCTTAAATGGACTTCTATAAAATGATTTTAAAAATTGACATTTTTTGGTAACATTTGAAGAAATGTCAAAAATTGCACGCGTTTTTAATTCGTTGATTTTACTGAAAAGAACTTGAGAAATTTTATTTTAGCGCTTTCACGCGCGCTAAATATAAGTCATGTCGGAGAACACGTGACCGACATTGCTTCAGCAGCTAGAAAACTGTTTACTAAGCCGAATGTTTAAAAAGCTGTTCGACTTGAAAACTTGTAATAACAAGTTCGGATTTTATGAATTGGACAATAACAAACAACATTCGACACATAAACACATGATCGAAGGAACTCTACCTTTGTTATAATTGCTCTCGGTGGTTTATTGATTGATGGATTCATGTGATATTGATTGAAAGATTCATGACACATGCAATTAATAAATAAATCCTTTCTCTTTCATGGCACAAACAGTTTAATCTGTAAATATTTTCTAAAATCGTTTTTTATCCTAAAAGGTAAAACATACATTTATAAGAAAAACAATAGTTAATAAATGATTTTTGAGTCTCTAAATTAAGCTTTATTTAATTCCCCATGAGTTATTTAATATTGAATATGAAATATAATCATCAGTTAATTTCAGAATAATTAAAAAATTTTTTTGACCAACTTTCAAACAATTTTTTCATCTTTAAAGAACAAAACATTAATGATGAAAAATTTAAAAAAAAGATAAATTATCATTAGTTTTAAAATCGAGTTTTAAGTTAAAAACACATAACACGCGTAACCGGCGAATGACACTCATTTACAGTCAATTTCAAAGAAAGTAATATTGTCCTCAGTTTTGAGTTTTGGAATTTTGGCACCGACCAGTGCTGACGAAAAATATCCTCAGTAGTAGATGGATCATGGGTTAGAGTCCCCTTGCCGTGAAGCTAACCGTGGGAGGTTCTCGTGGTTTCCTCTCCATGTAATGCAAAGGTGAGTTAGTTCTATCAGAAAGTCCTCTTCGAAGACAAAATTTCTCCCATTACTTGATCCGGGAGTTCTCTTGTCTTCTGAGTTGGGTTCAAAATTACAAGGCTAAGGAGTTGAACATTGGAAATTGTAAACTCAAAATTAGGCCCTTTCAACGGCGGTTATAAAATAAAATAAAATTCTGAGAGTAATAAAATATTTAAAAATGAATTCTTGCTATTTATAATAAGAGTTGTTTACTGTAATCTTAAGGACAGCTAGCTAAAGATTATCAAAACTTATAATAATAATGAAAATTTTTAAAGTTAGTAAGATATAAGTTATGAATAAACACGCTTAATGCTGAGTATTAAGTGGGATTTGTTACTATAACTAATTTAAAATGGAAAAAAAAAATACTCACGGTTCGTTAAAACCTCAATAGAAAATTTTGAAGATTCCAACATAGACTTCGACAATAAGGATGAAAGTTAATTTACTTTCTAATTTATTACTAATATATAATAATTTAATTGACTAATTTATTAATATATATATACATAAAAGTCAAAGAAAGAAACGGTAAAGCCAAATTGACATGTACGTACCAATTATTTAAGAGTGAGAGTACAAAACGACATCGTCTACATCGATAATCCATATCTCGCACGCACAAAAACAATCTTCAATCGCAGCGCCTACTGGCAACAAAGCCTCTATGTCTCAAGAATAATTCTCTTTTCTGAGGTGCAAAAAGCAAGAAGCCTGTTTTCACAGCATTGCGCCACTTAATGGCAAAATCGGAATTGTAAACAAAAAAAAATAGAAAATTGCTACTACCTATTGTTTGTGAAGAAAAAACAAACAACGCTTCAAAAATGGCGCTTGTGGTTTTAGAAGAAGCATTCAGAAATTTCGGCATCCTCTTAGAAAAAATGTCGGAAAAATAATGACACAGTAACGTCAATCACAGGCTGCGGCTGCATCTGCATTTCTTAAGATTCTTCTTCTTCTTCCGCTGCATGTAATATGGATATTCGTTCCAATAGACAGGTGATTAAAGCCACAGCAAAGTCGTCGTCTTGTTGGGTCAGTTTATTAGCAGGTGCGCAATAAGGTGGTGCGATGTATTAAGATGCGCGGAAAATGTAAACCTACATCAACAGTGTCGCCATAAACACACGCTTTGCTCGGCTAATTTGGAATGTTTATGCAGCTAATACGTCAATGCACTTGCATTTAATTTTATTCATCAGTGGCTGTATTTGATATTAGGGAGAACTAAATAATATAAAAACTAAAAAGCTTACTGCGCCAAAAGTCGTAACGCTCTTACGTAACGAAATCAACAGTATTATAAACAGTAGAGTGCCACATGGTCGTAGAACCAGTTTTTTTCCCCCAAACCTGAGGGTAATCATTCAAATTTTGTTGTTGTTGTCATAGACCATTAAGTGGCCATCTATGCACAAGAATTTGACTTCTGCCACAACCGTTCATGGGGCGGACCCATTCATTCATCCGCAGATCGTAATTTTGACCAGAACCAGAGAATCAGTACTCCCCAGAGATATAATTTGGTATGGGGATATGGATGACTTAGTGACCCAACAGATTTAGCTTGCACCAGTCACCATTTACTACATGGGGAGTCTTCGGCCAGCGGGATTCAAACACCCGTTCTTACGAAAGTGAGTCCACCGACTTGCCAACCAGGCTATCCCGGCCTAATGATTCCAATATAATCAATTTATCCTAAAATATGTCCAGAAAGTATTTTTCCGTAGTAGTTGAATCTTTAGTACTTTTCGCAGCTATGTTGTAAATACGAAACAAACATTTAATTGATATTACAGGAGTTTTTCTTTTCTTTTTGAGCAGGGAAGTTAAACTACATTATATTTAATTCTACTATTTATGAGTATAAACGACAATATTTTATTTACATCTAAGCTAATCAAACGCGTGCTCTTTGTTAGCTAAGTTATATACGGTCGAAGATAATTGGGTACTGCTTGATTTTCACAGCAACCGCTGTTAAAACGACGCCAAGCTAAGAATTATTCGCATTTAGTTTGTGGTTTCCATATATCCGCGATTGCTTAAATCGCTTCTTCCCCATAGGATTCTTGCCACATAAATACCGCAAGGTAGAAATCTAGAAGATGACTAGCCGTGCCTCTTAGCTTTTTGTTCCTAACATAAAATAAGGCTCTTTTTTTGTTGACAACCTTTCACATTGCACCGCTATCACTTTCTTTACATAGTTTCATGTGGTGTCTATTTACGCATACTTAATAGCGAGGTAGTAACTTTTTTTTTTCTTGGGAAAAACGAAACGGTATTTTCCTCACTCCTCAGTAAATTAAAACTTGTCAAAAAAAAATTTTTTTTCTCAATGTTTAAATTGGAAAAAAATATAAATTGCTAGTGGGCTGCGCCACCTGTTCGCTAACGCTCGCCAACCCCCGAAAATTGCTACGCAATCTCATATGGTTTGCTTAGCAATCCAAGCTCGCTTCGCTCGCTACTAACTCAGGTACATTGCAAATGCACAAAATTCTAAGAATTCAAAACAATCATTCAAATCCATATAACAACTTTTTTAAAAAAAAAATTACATCTAATTAGTAAATACTAAATCATTAAAATAAATTTGAATTCAAATAAATGACATGTAATTCGTTAAACCTATTAGAAATGTGCTATAGTATAAAATCTTAAACTGTAACAGCACGACTGAGACTCATTTTTCAATCAATAACTAATAACAATAATGAAACAAATAAATTCGTGATATAAATCAAAAGTCGTCAAATAAATTTGTAGTACATAAATTCGTGAAAAAAAAGCGCTTTCGACAAAATACTAAAATAGAGATCTATCGACAAAGACTACTCACTTTTGCCTAGATTAATAGTATGAGATTGCCGCAGCTGATAGGGTGAATATAGGAAGAGATCACATTTGGTGAGAATGCTCTCTCTGGTTATTTCCGTTTCCGTTTTTAAAAGCGCTATATGTTGAGCCACCTCAGCTAGATTTGGCATGTGACATTTTTAGCGGCAATCATTGGTCGATTTTCTAGCGTTGCCATTCGGGGAGTGGTAATGAGGCTTTTTTTTGTCGCCGTGTAAGAGAAATATATATATAGAAATACTAAATAATATATATCACGTGGTTTGTATGCAAAGCCTAAATGGAATGGAAAGTGAAACGGTGTATGGGTTACTCTAAGGTTAGGCTACTAATTTTTTTAAACATAATTTTGGTGGATTATCGCGGTCGCCGTAAAAATCTAATAGTACCAAAAATTGTACTTGCTAGCGATCGCTCCAATGAATCAGTTTTCAATGATGCGATCGATTTCGGGGTTTACCACCGAAAGTTTAAAGCTTAGTAAACAACGATTTATCCTTCGAAAGTCAATTTCAATATATTTTGCTTTACAGCAGTTTCTGACATAAAAATCAATAACGAGCATCACTTGATGATACATAGTGACAAATCCAAGAAGAAAGAAGTTAAATTAGACAAAGGCGTATCAGATTATTTTCATCACAATTGGATATATGTTTAAAGAAGAAAAAAATTTTATTTTTTAAATGTAATTAGCTTATACAAGGTTCAAGAATCCTTTCATCCATTGTTAAATACGAGAAAAACAACTATTATGAATATTAAAAAGGATTCTCTCCTTATTTGACCTTCACGGAGATGCATAATAAAAGTTAAGGTAATAAACATCTTCATTGAGCGACACGTGTAAGAAAAATAAACTCACTCAACTTTTTCATAGAAAATAATATGTATTTGGAAATGTTTTCTTCAATTTAAGTACTGGTTAAAAATAAAGGAATTAACAGGCAAGGGAGTTTAGTTTTTTTTAAAAAAAGTAATAATAGTGGGCTGCAGGGAAAGTTCTTCAGTACTTATCGAACATTATTAACATATTTGAAAATAATAACTATCAATTAGGGTTTATTTTCATTGAACGAACATTTTATAAACATAATTCAGGAATATAAACTTAAAGAACTTGTTTTTCGTAGTAATAGGGATAGATTTTAGTCGGAATATTTAATCATTTAAATATTTTCTATATGTATATTTTTCTTCCAAACAATTATCTAAGTTTTAATATGTATAAAATTGTATCGAGAATAATAATAAAAAATTTATATAATTATCAATAAGACTGTCTTGGATAAAGAAATTTGTCAGCCGGTGAAAAATAAGGTTTTGTTTTCTAATCATAGAAAAAGTTCATAAAAATAAAGGATTTGTTTACGAAATGCACAAGAAAAGTCATCCAAAATATTAGGGTTTTCAAAAGCTTTGTGTAGTTCTGTAGTCGGGATTAAAATCCGTAGCGTTTATATCTCTGATTATCAAATAAGTGCAAATAAAATAAATTTTGACTTTTAATTTAATATGACAAAGTTAAGTGTCTTAATAATATGTATATAACAATTAAAATCTACGACTTTCAGTTAAATAATAATCAAAGAATTAAAACTAGAAGTTACAAATAATTTTAGTTGTTATCTTACAACTTTATTTTCATAATTTTAGATTGAAAGAAAATGGTTGAAATTTATGCTTTAGCTTTAGATGAACAATTTATGTGCTCATAACTACATACTATATCTAAATAATATTATTAACTTCTAGGATAAAGCCACTGTAGCTCAGGAGATAGAACGTTTGCCTCCCAATGAGATGACACAGGTTCGAATCCCACCGACAGCTGGTCGATTCAAATTCTGCTAGCATAGCATGGACCAGCTCGCACCAACCACAGCACTGACTGATATACACACTGGTGAGGACCTTTCTCTCTGGAAGCGATTTTGCATCCGGGAATAATGGTCCTGTAGATGGATCATGGGTTACAATGCCCTTGCCATCGGGCTAACCGTGAGAGGTTTCCCACTCCACACAACGCAATTACAAACTAATTTCATCAAAAAGTCCTTAACGAAGGCTAATTTGTTCAAATACTTGGCCTGGGAGTTTCCATATATTCTGGGTTGAGTTCAAAATTACAAGACTTCGGAGTTAAAAACACACACACATATCTATCGATATATGCATGCTGAAAAGGTAAATTAAATTAGTTTTAAAAATTTTTTAAATTAAATAAAAAAAAACTACTAACGTTTTCTTATCTTGGAATTAAAAAAAAGTGAGTAAATAACAGACGGAGCAGGAACAAGGGGGAAAAAAAACAGCACCATTGTACACATTTTGCAATCTAAGTAGTTTTTAATAAAATTAAAGATATAGCAATTTCTTAACTTCATTATTTAAAATCTAAAGGGGATAAAATGACGAAATTCGATGTTGGCACACATACACACAACACAAACAAATTTTGTCATGTAAGTACTTAAGAAGATTAAAATATATTTAGATCAAAAAGTTAAAAAAAAACCATTAAAAAGGAGAAAATTACGATAAAGCAACGAAGCGGAGTTCTTTATTCAAATGATATGGGTTATTAAATTACTTAACATTAAAATGCATTGCTTTTCATATATTTAGGGAAAAAAAGAGAGATGGTAATCTGTCAATAAATTGTTCCCCAAAGATTTTTTTAAAAATTATTTTTAAATGCTACTAATGTTAGATCTGAAAAATTCATGAGCCTCCATTACGTTTATCATACTTACTTAAACTTAGCTTTTAACATGATAAAAATTATTTTAACTAGTGCTGGATGATATACAAATTTTGTATTGCGATATATTTTGCAATTATCGATACTTCGGATCTATCGCGACATATTTTAAATTTAACTATTTCACAATATTATTATATTTGTTAGTATTTTCGCGACCCCAAAAAGATTTATTAATACTCAAAATATGCTATTCGGTAATTATCGATATCGATAATTCCAATAACGCGATGTTATTGTAGTTTATAATGAAACATTGATTAGCGTCATATCGTTGTTGACCACTGTCGCATTTTCGATATTTATTCCAAGAAATAGTATTTTAGGATTATCAAGAGAAATTGTCTGAAAATATCGTTATTGAAATATTAAAAAAATTGGATATTACGTGATATTTCACCCAGTACACATTTTAACTATTTCAATTTAAAAAGCAAAAGCTTGATTCTTATTTTCTTTGAGAGAAGAAAGATACAATGCATTTTTGTTTTAATTTTTTATTTAGTTATTTTTATTTTTGTGACCGATATATTTTTCTAGACTCGCTGTCTAAGATAGGTTTTTGTAAAAATTTTGTGAAGAATCACTAACACTAGTGGTCTGCCGAAGCTTTTTATAAAAAAGTCTATTCATAATTTAATGAATCTAAAATCGCAGGAAGGTAATTTTTGGTTTAGTGCTGTTCTAGTGAATATCTGAAAAGAATTGTTTTGAAATTATAGATTAAAGCTAAACAA